CCCTCAATAATCGTACTTAAGCGATTTTTTCCTATGCAATTTGCCTAGTTATCTCGTCCTATCTTAGCCTTTTCACAATATACATATACCTAACTGTCCTCACTATACATTTATCATTTATATAAGTTAGTGTTCTATTACTTAAAAACGAATATAAAAATCATACAATTATCAGTCTTACGCAACGAAATTTGTGTAGACAAATATACAAGTTTTCTATTACAACTCCTTATAAATCTGGATGTGATGGAAACAAATTTAAATTCGAAGTAGTTATGACGAAATTCTCTTGGCAAATGATTATTTTTAGAAGTATTATTTTTGATATTTTTGTATAGATGAGAAATGACTTACATATTTGTGTAGTTAAGGTTGAAACATGCTATCTGAATTATTTCAATCTTCATTACTTCATTATATGAAACCAATCATTTATTTGTTATAGGTGCGTCGATACCTAGGTACCTACTAAAAAAAAATCATCATTCAAGAATTAGATAGGTACTAAAAATTAACGACTAGATAAACCCACACCTATTGTATTTGCTATTTAATTATAGGTATTAAGTGAAATGACATATTATAAGACTTAAAGGTAAGAAAATTATCTGTGTTCTCTCGACGAGTTTTTTACGATGCTTTAATTTTTAAGGAGAAATGATATTCTGCGCCAATGTTATTACTTGTAATTTGCGCCAAAATATAAAAATATAACAGTATTTTTGCGCTACACTTTCGACTAATATAATTGTAGTTGGAATTTACCAGCAGATAAATTTACTGATATCGCATAGGATATACATACAATCAGTGGCGTATTTTCAATTTTCTTGTGGGGAGGGGGGTCTTAATATTAAATACAGGTTTATAACATTATAATAAAATACATACGAGTTATGATTTAATAATGATATTATTTAAATTATATTATATTTCACTATTATTATGAAAATAAATGTCAATTAATAGTTTTAATAGTTTTTATAGTAAAAAAGGTAAACGTCTTTTTTTTTCGCCAGTTCTTCAATAACTTCTTCAGGCTTTATTGAGTAGTTTTTATTTATTGATAGCATAGCTAAACCGTTCAATCGTCCCTATAAATAAAAAAATAAACAGAGTAATTTATTTATTGTAAGTTACAAGAATATTTTTTAAGCTTATAATAATAATTTACCTCTGACATAGAATTCCTTAGACATGTTTTTATTCTTTTTAAGTTTGAAAATGTTCTTTCATTTGTTGCAGAAGAAACAGGAAGCGTGACTAAAATTTGGAGAAGTTTAAATATATTCGGATAAATTGACTGGTTACACATAGTCATAGCCTCTAAAGCATTATTTGGTTTCTCCGTTGCTTGCATGAGTTTTCTCTGCCATAATTTATACTCTGATTCAATAATTTCATTTTGAGTTCCATCATTCTGTAAATCTTCAATATATTTATTTGAAAGAGTTATAATATCTTCAATGGGACCATTTTCCCTAAATAGAGAATCGAAACCTGATAAAATCGATCGATGAACAGTGAACCTTTCTTCTAACTCTGTTATAAATTTGTCAAGATAAGGAATTAAAATTGATGCTCGATAATATTGTTCCGGAGTATTTAATGGTATATTGCTTCTATTAGTTTGTTTTTTTGTTAATCTCGGAATTTTAATTTCAATATCGAATTTTTCGGCTACTACTTTTACTTTTTCAAATATTTTTTTAAAAACATCATCGGCGTGTGTTCGAAGTTCTTGTAATTCTTTTTTTGTATCATTTGCTAACTGTACAGCCAATTTAAGATCGATATTTGATTTTTGTAGGAACTTTGAAAGTGGTAAACCTATATTAAAACCTTTGTTTAATACGAATAATGATATCACAAACTCTATATCTAAAATAGAACTTCTAAGACGTCTTGCTTTATTCGAAGTATCATTATCGTCCCATTCCGAAATTGTATCCAATGCTTCAATGACATATTCATAAAGTTCCATAAAATCGTTTATTGCGTGAAATCGTTCTATCCATCTAGTTTCGCAGCTTCTTTTCAATGATTTTTTAGTGGACGTTTCTGATGAATTTTCAATATGAAATCGAAGAATTGATTTTCTTTTCGGAAAAATAAAAAAATCGCGAACTTTCCCTAAAGTTGCTAAACAATCTCTTATTTGTGTCACGCTACATGATTTAGATACTACCAGGTTTAACACATGTGCTGAGTAGTGTACATAAATTGCTAATGGGTGTGTGTCTTTAATATGTGCTTGAACGCCATTAAATTTACCTGACATAGAGGCCGCCCCATCATACCCCTGTCCATGTAAATATGTCGTATCTATGCCAATATGTTGCAGATTATCAATTATTAATTTTGCCAATCCCTTTCCTGTCATGTCATCAGCAGGAACGAATTGCAAAAAATCTTCATGAAGTTCAAGGGTGTTTAATTCGACATATCTGACACACAAAGATACCTGTTCTATACCCGACACATCAGCCGTTTCGTCAGCGAGAACAGAAAAACATTTTGCTTCATTTACTCTTGAAACTATTTTGTTTAATAATACTTTATTACAGGAATCGATTATTTCATTTTGACTAGTAGAACTTGTATACTTAATGGTACCAGAACTTTCAAGATATGATTTCATATCACCATCACCTTGGGCCCTATATCGAAGAATTGCCCTAAAATTACCGTCATTATTTTGTTTGTCATCTGAGAATGTTTTGAAAATGTTCCCAGAGACCCGGGAACCCCCCCCCCCCGTAAATACGCCACTGCATACAATACAATAATACGTACCGACGCGTATCCAATAACTCCAACATAACTTTTATATTAATTTTTATATATTTTATTACAAAAAGAAAATTTAATTATTTAATATACATGGAGTTTGTTTTATTTATAATTATTTTAATATTAATGGCGTTAATTACAATTTTAGTAGGTATACGATGGTATACAGATTACATAATGCATTTTTATTTAGTTTTATTTGGTGCAAATTACCAAAATAAATTTTTAGATATGGTGCAAATCCATATTATTATTTTTTTTATTTTTGGGGTTGTTTTTGGCACAAATTACATACGCCTTTTTATAAGTGTAATATAAGTATTTTTAAATACCCATCGATATTTTGCATACCTACTATAAAAAATCACTTGCTCACTTAGAAATTAAAATACCGTAAAAACCGACGAGAGAACACGGATAATAATGTTCTTACCATTGATTATGATTATAGGTTAACTATTGAACATTTGAACGTAAATTTTGGTACCTATCTATATTACCTATACGTTACCTATTAAACAGAGTAAACACATGAGGGTACAACATTATCAAGTACCGACTATCGACTATCAGTCTGCAAATCTGCCATAGCCAACTGCCGACTATGAGACTGTGACCTAAGTATTATTTGTGGACTTAATCTGAGCTTGTAGAAAGACAGCTTATATATTGCTACGTGCTTTAATATTCCAAAACAATATAACAAGATACCGCAACATAACTTATAAGTAGGTAACACACTCCAGAATATAACAAAGAAAAGTAAAATACAATAATATTACCTTTATATAATTATGGGTAGGCTAGGGACGTATTTAAGGGGGGGCCGTGCCCCCCCACCCATTCACCGTATTTTATACTTTTTTTATTATTGAGAATATTAGTCTCTTGGAAAACTGGAAGCTCGCAAGCCTTTTTTATTTTATGACCTTTTTTTCTTTGCTTTCTTCGCCTTTGGCCTGCTTGACTTTTTTCTTATTGGTAGCCTATATTTTGTAAAATTTTAGACAGTGTGTGTCCCCTCTCCCTAAAAACAATTCTAGATACATCATTGGGGTAGGCCTAGTATGTACTAGTATCTATCAATATGCATAAATCATATAATTAAGGCTTACATTCTCGTGTATTATAAAACATACTTCATAAAGGAATAAATGTGACGCGTTGGTATAAGAAATTACCTACACAGTAGATTTGACCAGATCAGGCGCAGTAGTGCATTATGTTAATTTTGAGGATTTTGATATGGGAGATACGTTATCTGGACACCAAAAGATAATAAAATCATTGCATGTCACCATAAACCCAAGAACGCGCGAGCCGTGGGAACATAAAAGTGCGCTTTTGTTGACCAGAAAGTAAATGACTAAGAATATTAAGAATAGTGAGGAAGGAGTGGAGGGACCTACTATACTTACTATATAGATCAGATCAGATAGAGAACCCCGGATAGAACTTTTTTAGAAGTGATTTACAAGAATTGAGCAAACTCCTTTACACAAGCCTATGTTGGAATTTGGTCATTTAGACTATTTTCAACTAAAAACACTTAGAAAAATCAAAAAACAAATTACGATTAAATATTTCACCGCGACTACTGCACAATTCCATACACGGTTAGGTTAGGTAGATGGTAATTGGTAGGATAGGTAATAACCTATGTAGCATAAAATTTTAAATAAATAATGAAATTTTTACATTTTCATTTGTTTCAATGTGAAATCTGTCTGACGACTGGTTAACTTGGGCTACACTGACTAGCCACCTGTTCAAATAGTAACTATTAATGATTAACAATAGAAGTAGGTAGTAGGTACCTGTGTTTATTTATCTGTAATAATTGTAATATGTAATATGTATACAGAAATGGGAAACACCATCATCGTTTGACGATATTTGTTTCTCGCTTACTCAATCGTAAATAATAAATATTATATTATACACACATCGTCGACAATATACTATTAATTAATATATAGGGTAGGTAGAAATTGGAAGTTCGGCCATGATGGATATTTATATTATGTAATATGTAGAGTGAAGTAGGTAACTACTTGAGTGTCTGTATTCAGATACACGTATTATACGCGTATTGTGGGTCGCGAAATTATAATAATGTAGGTACCTATACTGTATATTATAGGATATCTAATATTGAAGTATTATGGTTATGATTTTGTATTATAGTTTGATAGTATGTTTATTATAAGTACTGCATAAATATACCTATTAAACATTATTATGCTGTTGATAATTTTACACAAAAACGCGCGTCAATTACGAAAACAAGTTATCGTATGCGATTTATTTTTTATATATACCGACCTATATCTATCTTATACTTAACTGACTACTGAGTGCAATTTTCCTGTGAACTGTGGACTGTGGTACGGGTAATTTTTAAAAATTTATTACCGTCATTCGGTGATTAAATCTATCATTGGATTTCGTATCGCATTAATTATTGTCAACTATCTTATAATATCCATATTATAACAGAACAACAGGTACTATTATCAAATTGGATAGGTACGTATAGTACTATGATGTAGAATTATAACACATAATCAAAATAATAATTAATAATATATTTTGTCATTTCAGGAAAAAACAAATAATTCAATATTATAAGTTACAATTAATTGTTATTTATACGTTTTTCTCCGTTCTAAGTTGAAAATAATTTCAAATTATCAACACAAAATGTATCAGAGGTAACTATGAATTAACAATTTTATACTAATTAAACATAGGTTATTGTTTTTAAATTTAATTTCAAAATTATATTAACGTGTTAAAGGTTTTTAAATAAAACAAGTAAATGTCAAATGTTATTCAGATCTGTATGATCTTGAGTCCTCACTATAATTCAATAATTATTTATTAGATAATAGGTAATAAAGTTAATTTTTTCAAGGTTTATTGATGATTCTTCTGCTGGCCCTTCATCTATGGTAGCTATGAACCCGGACGAATTACAACCACCATCTCTGAAGTCGACTATGCCCAAATCAACATGTGAAAAGTATGTTATTTTTATTATTTTTTTAAATTAAATTAACATCCTTTGACTTATAACAATGGTACAAGCAAGATCAAGATATAAATAGTTACTAATATAATGATATTGGATAGTTATGTTTTTTTTTTTTTTACTATTATTATTATTATGTTTTGATAGTTATGTATGTTTATGCCATATAACTTCCAAATACATATTTAAATTAAAAAAAAAAAAATTCAATGTATATAGTAAATAATAAAACAAAGTACCTATAAATAGAATAAATGGCCTTGGTTGGAAGTTTAGTAATGTCAAAGTATATTGTAATCATGCATCATTTTTAACTGTGAGCCATTCATAGAAAAGTTGGTATTAACAGCTAGGGGATTAAACAATCACTGAAATCTGGTTATGGTTGGAACTTGGACGCTTAGTCCTTCAAGTATTTTTGGGGCATCAAATTTACCCTTGAACAATTCTTGAATAAATCTATTACCTAAATTCCTTTGCCTATCATCTAAAGGATAAAGAGTCAAGTTTAAGAATCGGACTAACTGGTCTGTAGTCATATTACAGACGATGAATTTTTAGGCAGTTACTGGCATAACTCAAAAAATAGTTTACTCATTGTAGTACTTTTTTATAATTGATTTTATAATTTATAAGTATCATCTTATTATTTGTGTTTCTAATAGAACATCAGCACTTAAGTATTTGCATGCGAAAAAGAAGTCTGGCCGTGAATATACAGTTTCCATTATTCTCATATTTATTTGGCTTTTTTGTACTGTAAGTTATTTGTTTTATTTTGTTCCTTATCTAAAGTCAAATCTAAATTAAGTGTAGGATTAGCTTAATCTGTAGCATGCAACTTGAAATAAGATGATAAGATATAGAAAGAATCTACTAAAATCTATATTTTTTAATTTTTTTTATAAATTTTTATTTAATAAATATTTTACTGAGGTACCACTATTGGGCTACCTTTCCACTTATGCTTCCTGGCTACTTTTTTCATACCACATTTGCTTATTGAACATATTGTAAAATTTCATATTTTAAATTAAAATATATTTGTATATATACAATAATAACATTAATTTCTATCTATAAATTTTAATTTATAGATAGTCAATAGTTAAAAAAGTTAAAACATGATTTAATTCAAAGTAAATACCCTAGGTCAGGGGTCACCTATAATGATGGTCAGCAGACAAAGAATAATTTTTTCAAATATTTGTATTACCTATTTATTATTTTCTTAATGTTTATAAACAATAACAATAATAATAAAGAAAAAAATATTTTTTTTCATTACATCCAATTTTAAAATAATACCTATTATCTGTATACATTAAAAATATGTACTTGGAATTTTGATGGGTAGTGAAAAATTTTCAGATTTCTAATGTGGCCCTTCAAAAATATTAATTGGTGACTTCTGCCCTTTGTAATCTAGGCTTATAGCTTTACAACTTAATGAGTTTTTTTGTTCATACTTAGTTTAGTTTTATCTTATTCATTATGAATTGACTTCAGATAGTTCTCATGGCAAAACAAGAAAGGAAAGTAGATGATGTCCATCAAATAACATTAGCTCCAAATGAAACTAAAAGTAATTAACATATATACAATTATAACTATTATAAAATATATTAATATTTAATTGAGAAAAAAAATTGTGTTTTAGCTCAGATAATATATAAAAACCATATGCCAAACACTAATAAAATACAATTAATATTGGCTGGAGCATTTATGCCTGATTATTATAGAATTTTGGCAACACATTTTTTTAACATTTGGATAGAGTTTGAACCAACTGAAGAATATGATATACCGTCAAAATTAGGATTGAAATTGGATGACATTCATCAAAGCAGGGTATGTTTTATAATAATAATAATAAATCTAATAAAATTTAAACATTTGTAAAATAAAAATTGTGTTTATATTTGATGTAACAAAATAAAATAATAAAAAAAACCTGTAAAATAAAATGTAATAACTAATAACCTATTACTTATTAGTTCTTATAACTAATTGTTATTGAATAATAGAATATAACTCAAATATGGTCCATACCAATTGTGAGTGAATCACTTGTTGAAGTTGTTCCCGAAATGCATCATAATAAAATTTTTAAATTGTTTTCCAAGTAAGATTAGTTAAATACTAATAGTAAAACTTAGTTTTGATTGTTAATATATAGATTTTTTTAGTGTTACTCTTCATGGTGATACTAGACTTTGTATGAATACTACATTGAGTACTAACTTTCCTATTGCATTGACATATGATTTGTTTCCAATCAACACAGAATATGGTATAATTTATGCTGCTCTTGTATTGATTGGACTTTATATACTAATTATAACTGAAGTAAGAATATAATAAAATACTATTTTAAGTAGTTTTTTCTTTTTCTAACAAGCCTATTTTATTATCATGTTTGTCATGAGTTTGATATACCTAAATCTTTTCCACTCTCCTCAAAAATATCTGTTTTATAACATTCCTACTATGAAAAATATTGTGAATATTTATTAATTATAGGTTGTACATAAATCAATTGCAGCAATATTAGCAGCCACTATGTCAATTTCCATACTAGCGCTATTAGATGAAGTAAAAAAAAAAAAAAAAAATGAATAATTAATTAAAAAATATTGTTACCAATTCTGATAGTTATTCATTATGTTATTATAGAGGCCAACCAAAGATGAATTGTCTTCTTGGGTGGATATTGAAACGTTGCTTCTCCTATTCTGTATGATGGTTATTGTTGGTATTCTATCTGAAACTGGAATCTTCAACTACTTAGCAATTTTAGCATACAAAGTATTAAAATAAGTAATTAATTATTATGTGTATTCATGGTGATATATTTAAATGATTTACACTTATATAATTTAATTTAATTGCTAAATAATATTTTTGAGAAAAAAAATATATTTTTTACGATTTTAATTATTAGGGCCCAGATTTATATGCATTTGCATGTTTTTACTGAACAGTCCAAAAAATTATTAGATAAGCTTCAAGTTTTATTTGTAGTCAATAGATCTGAAATATAATTTTATTTTGCATATTTTGTCATTTTTTGACATGTACTGCATATTATTGTATTTTACGATTTTTTATTGCATATATACAGTTTTTAAATGCATAATGTATATTTTGCTTATTTTAATTAAAATATTAATTAACATATTTATAGTCTATGTAATTTGGCAAAGTCATTTTCTTATCTTATCTGAGACCCATCTAGGACAAGTAGTAATCTTATTAAATAGGTTTTAGTGAATCATACATATTACATATTACATTAGTCGTGTTTGTCGCGATTTGAGTGCACCTAATTTTCATTTGATTTTATTTATTTATATTTAATGAAAATGAAAGACTTTTGTAATCAATTTTTTTGCATATTTTTTATTTTATAGAGTATATTTCTATAAAATAAGAGTATAAATGCATATTTTCTGAAGTTTGTAGAGCATATAAATCCAACCTCCATTAATTATACATTTTTAAGGTTTAATTGTTTTTGAATGACAGCATTCATTTTTAATTTCATATTCTGGATTAGAATATAATTCAGAATATTTTGATACACACAAATTTAAATTTAAAATTTGTGTTACAATAGGTTCACATAATTTTTTTTTGAAAATATAACTCAAAAATTATTAATGTCTTTCTCTAAATACCGCAAAGCAGTAAAAATAAGTTTATGAAATATATAGATTGTATCTTAAAATAAATCAAAAATGTACTTACGTATAGTAAAATTCATAGTAATATAATAAATGTAGAAGTTAAAAGTTCCCATTAATAATGTTTTTTAATTATAAAAAATAATTAACATTGTTAAAATACATTAATTTATTCAAATTTTAATTGTAGTTTCTTTAAAAAATAATTTTGTTTGTAGTTTGTGTATATTTTAGATTTTTACTTATAGTATGAAATATTTATGAAAAATATAATATAACATTTTCAAACCTTAATAATAAAAACTAAAGATTTTATACATTATTGTAATTTTCTTGATCTTGACAAATTTAATTTTGTAAAAATCTGTACTTCAAATGTAAATTATAACATTTTTATAATTTATGACTTATTTGTAAAATCAATAGTTTCATCATTACGCAATTACAAAAGTAAAAAAAAAAAAAATGATAAAAATAAAAATTGTAAAAAAAATTGTTTTGTAAGGACATGTAATTATATTTATAAATATTTTCAAAATAATTAGTAGGAATTTAAATAAATCACCATGTATTAAATTAACAAGTTAATTATTAATTTTATTTTAGGAAACTAAAGGTAAAATTTGGCCATTGATCAATACATTGTGCTTCTTTACTGCTATCGTATCTTCTGTATTGGATAATGTTACCACTGTTCTTCTAATGACGCCTATAACCATAAGGTGATTATTTTATTACTCGTATGCCCGTACCATATTAAAAATAAATCCAAAAAATATAACTATACATTTTACATCATGTTTTTTGGTCTCTTTGTCACAATCTATGTGTGTCAACAGTTAATAATGTATTGTCTTAGGTTGTGTGAAGTAATGCAAATGAATCCAGTACCCACGCTTATGTGTATTATATTTTATGCAAATTTAGGAGGGGCTTTAACATTAATTGGAGATCCACCAAATGTAATAATTGGAACAAATAAAGATGTTATTGCAAGTGTAAGTTTAGAATTTACATTATTAATAACAATAAATATTAAATATTAAATAGCTATTGATTTAAGACGATATAACATCATGATAGAAGTAACCAAGTATAATCACTTTACAGATTTCAAGAGGTATACCTCAGGTCTATAAAAGTTAGCAACTAGATACTTACAAAAAAGAATCTTATTTCACTATTTTATGTTTGAAAAATTGATGTAGTTTTGTGAATGATATTGATATTTTAATATATTATTATTTTAAATCTTATATCTTAATAGTACCTACACATTTTTTTAATTTTCTTAAACACTTTTCTAGCCCCAAAACAGGATATATACAAGCTTTCATTATTTTGTATTAGTTTTGTTTAGAGTTGCTAACTTAGTTAAGTATAGACATTTGTTAATCACATCAAGGACAGCTTTATGATAATTGTCTTATGTCTTATATACTATTGAAAAAATGTAATGTTTTTATTTTAATGGGGGATGGTATAATAATGGTTACATGTGTGATATCGTTTTGTATCTTACCTAGTTATTTTTATCATCATTAATAATACATGTTTTTATAGGGAATTGATTTTACAACGTTTTCTTTACATATGGGTGCTGGTTTAGTATTCATATTTATAACAGTAAATCTACATTTAAGGTTTATTTTCCGTAATATGCAAGATTTAAAATTTACTGAACCTCCTAATGTAACTGGTATATAACCTATTTTTATTAAATATATTTTTTTAACTATAATAATATTATTTAATTTTACTTTAAAAAAAAATTAATATTTATTATTTTTGTCAATTGTTTTCTGATTTAATTGATGATTATATATTTTTATATTTTTTTTTTATGTATAATAATTAATAATATATTTTTATAATTGAGTTATATTCATACATATATTTTAAAGTAAAATTAAATAATAAATACAAAAATTATAAAAGAAGAAAAAAACAAATGTTCATAATTTATAAATAAAATTATAAACATAGTATTTCAATTACTACTAATTAAATTTCTATATTTTATGTATATATAGAATTAAGACAGGAATTAGCAATTTGGCAAAAAGCTGCATTTTCTTTGTCTTCTTATTCAAAAGAAGAAGGAGTTGTAAGAGATAAACTTCTAAGAAAATGTAAAACCATATTTTCCAAGCTTAAAGACACTCTTAAAGGTTTCAAAGTTGATGTTTTGCCAACGGAAAGGTACCTATGCATATAATAAAATAATATATCAATACTTATTAATAATTTGGTTATGAGTTTATGATGAAACAAATAATTGAGAATATTAAAAAAAAAATATTTTCTATGTTATTAATTTATTACCTGTAATATTAATATTTATACTTAGATTTTAGTACCCTAAATATATTTATTCTTTATAAAAATATTTATTGTATATTAATTATTTATTAGTAAATTCATTGAAGTACATAGATCTAAATTTTTTGTAGTGCTTGATGCTTAAAAAAATTTTGAACCATTTCTTTATTCCAGCTCTCTTTTTACTATACAAAATTGATTAAATTACTATGAATATTCAGGTACCTACCCATTAATTTAATTTTTTAAATTTTTATAAAGGATTACATCACAAAAATAATAATAATTTATAGTATAAAAATGTATAATGACAGATGTTTAGCTACTATGTACTTAAATTATTGAATTTGATTGCTAATAAATTTAAATTGTCATTTCTTATTCTGTATATACTAGAATAAATTATTTTGAATGGTTTTGAATTATAAAATTATGGTACATGGTACATCTTTATTATAAAAGATGGTTTTTACACTCAAATATTAAATTATGTATTCATGCCAGGTTAATTATTTATGATAGACGATAGTAAAGAACACTTAATTATTAATTTTTTTACCTCAAACATATTTTAAAAAAAATATATTTTATTTAGTAACAACTAGAAAAATGTGGACCCCCAGCTTAAAAACTTAACTTTTAAAGCTTTAATTACAAAATATTAGAAGATGCCTAGATACAACTGGCATCCTCCTTGTATATGCTAATGAGTACATCGTTATGTTCATGGGCCTAACCAGATTTTGTACTTATAACTATTAAAGTAATTTTTAAAACATGATTTTAAATGTTTCAATAAGAAGTATAACTTAATATAATAATCATAAATATTTTATTTTATGAGATAAATGAATATTATATACATTTTCAGACTTCAAAATTATGATGAATCCATCAAGGATTTTTTAAATAAGGTAATATGATAATATTTGTAATATTATTTAATTTAACTAACTTAAGTTAATGTGATAATATATGATATTATTATTTTTTTCAGGAAAATCATTTAGATAAAAGTCTTTTATGGAAATGTGCTATTACATTAGGATTTGTTATTACTCTGTTCTGCCTGCATTCAATTCCTCAACTAAACCTCAGTCTTGGGTGGATTGCTTTACTTGGAACATTACTTTTGCTTATACTTGCTGATCATGTTGATATTGAATGTATACTGGGCCGAATTGAATGGGCAACATTATCATTCTTCGCTGCACTGTTTATTTTAATTGGAGTAATGTAGTTTATAACAAAAAAAAAAATTTTTTTTAAATATTTGTATTATTTTTAGGCATTATCTGAGCTAGGTTTGATTGAATGGGTAGGTAAACAAACAGAAGTGATAATTATGTCTGTGTCCAAAGAATACCGATTGTCAATTGCTATAATTTTAATTCTTTGGGTTTCTACTATTGTCTCCTCATTTGTTGACAATATTCCATTAACTACTATGATGATAAAGGTGATAACGTCATTGTCTCAAAATCCTGAACTAGAATTACCATTACCACCTTTGGTATATGCATTAGCGTTTGGTGGTTGTCTTGGTGGTAAGAATTTAGTTCATATTTTTTTCATACAATACAATGAGTTAAATCAAATATGTTTAAGGGAATGGAACACTGATTGCTGCTTCATGTAATATGGTATGTGCTGGAGTAGCTGAACAACATGGATACAGAATGTCCTTTATGCAATTCTTCAAGTAATTATTTATTTCTTAATATATTTTTAATCGGTTTAGATTATTCTTGGTTAGTATAAGAGAGTGAGTAAAGATTTCAAGGTATAATTTAAAATAATATTGAATAAATTAATTTAATTATGTCTGATAATAACCTCTAAGAAAATACTTCACTTACATGTTTAGTTGAGAAAATTATCTATGTTTATTATTTATTCATTTGATTTCACTTAATCTTTTTTTTTTTTTTTTTTTTTATTCAAATAAATATTTATAAAGTATACTAATAATGGCATAATAAATAAATTAGATGAATATGCGAACAATCAAATTATAAATAAGTAAAAATATGAGATAGGAAGCAATCTATTAATATCACTTCCAGTATATATTATTATTATTATTTTCATTGTGTGATGGCAGTTATATTAATTTTATTAAGACACTTAATTTTTTCGTCAATTTTTTTTCAGCCTTTTATGATACTTCAAATTTATTGTGATTAATTTTAGACAAGAATTACAAAGTTAGCATAAAAAAATACTCCTATGTGTATTAAAATTTAAAAAAATAAAATTATGCCATTTTTTTGAAACAAGCTATGAGTAACTAAAATATCCTGAAGAACAGTTTTACAGACTCAGATAATGTTCTTACATCTAAATTTAATAGTAGGTCAATTTATTTTAAAAATGAATCTAAGAATACAACATTTTTCTGCTGAGTAAAATATGTTATTTTGAATGATTGTAAGACTGACAAAATATATACGGCATGATGTTCTCTTTAGGACTTTACCTTTTGTAGCCAACTATTTTCTTTTACTAATACTATTCCCATATTTTGTTCATTATAATTTTTACCGATAAAATAAATTGTAGAATAAAAAATCTAAAAATATATTTGAATTCGTTGTAAAATTTACTCAAGAACTAGAGCTTGATCATCCTGCATTTTAAAATGTTGACTCTTATTCGTCTCCTTAAATTTGATTTTAAAAATCAGAAATTAACTATATATGTTAACTTTATAAGTTATAACCAATTTAAATAAGTTTTCAAATATCTCATTGTATTACTAGTTTTGTGATTTGTCATTACAATCGACAAAAAGTACATGCTTCTTAGTGAAAAATTTACTTGTCGACCATAGATTTATGACATGTACTTTACAAAACCCTACTATCTTTTTAAAACTACTGTTAAATTCACATATTATCACTTGCTACTTAAACATTACATAATATGCACTTAAACACTTTTAAAAAATTTCCCATATTAAAATATTTAAAGCAGTCGATTTTGAATCCCCTTGATATAAATTTAATGAAGCTTATCTATAACCACTCAATATTTTTTGTAACTACATTTAAATTGTATTTTATTATTAGAGTTGGATACCCAGTGATGTTAGGTAGCATAATTATTGCTACAATATACTTGCTTGTTACTCATGTAACATTTGGATGGAATGTATAATGTTTGTTTCATCATCAGATTTTCAAAAAATGTTCCTGTGAAAATATCTAACTGACAAAAAGATAATATTATTTATTTTTAATATTTAAGTTTAAATTAATTTAAATTATTTTTTTCATGTTTAATTGTTAAGTATATTTATTGTTGTATATTTCAAAAAAAAAAAAAATTTTAATATTATTGTATACATACCTAGATCATATAGAGTATAGTATTTTATTCTTTTTAATTTTATTCAAATAAGTAAATAAATTATATTTTCACCATAAATTATATTTTGAATATTTTTATGCTAGCATTTACTTATTACTAACTAAAGTACCTAATAAATTGTATGTACTTATATAAATATTAAATAATAACTATAGTTATTTTGTTTGTATATAGGTATTTTTTTTTAATTCAATAAACATGTATCTAGTTAATAACACTTCCTATTGACTATTAATGACTGAACACTAAAATATTAATTTGTTATTTCAATAGGTATTTGTTATACACTAAACATATTTTTCAATGTTTTCCAAATTTGTATATACTAAATATTTAAAAAAAAATTGAAAAAAAAATGTATTATAAATACCTACATCAAAAAAATTTTAATGATTCCTGCTACACCACGGTCCTTATTTTGGTGTATTATTGTAGCACCATAGAAAAGTTAATAATATAAAACTAAATTAATTTATGATTGCTGGCGGTCACAATTGTATAAAATTTAAGAATTACAGATGACCACCGACGGTCATTTGGCGGTTAATGTGTTGAATTAATGTTAAGTTATTACTTAAGGCCATACTATAGCAGCAGCGTTAAAATATAGCTATATACTATAAATAAATGTGTATAAATTGTATAAACAATAATTTACATTTGTTTGAATTTGCCCATACCAGCTCCTAGACATGAAGCAAAGTGTATTTAATTATTAATAAGCATATTTAATACAATGTTATTTGCTCTCCTTATTTTTAAAAACAAATACATTATAACATCCTTCACCATCTTCTCAGATATCCCACTACTTTCCATATCTCTTATAATATTAACTTTGATAACAATTTTCCTCTATTTACAGTAATGTTATGAAACAAGTACCCTACAATTGATTTATTTTCAAATAAGATACACATTTGCTATTCCTATAGATTGTATTTTCATTAAATTATACTCGTATGTTAATCTTTTTAACATCATGTATAGTGTATACTTATACTTACATCATAAAATTATTGAGCTACCGCCAATTTTATTCTAAAGAATGAAAATATGTTAATAAGTAAAAAAAAGGTTCTAAGAAGAAAAAATATTTTTATTTTAAGCTTCAAATATGTGACAACATAAATTTTTCATTTAAAAACGAACACATCAGTTAAAATAAAATATACAAATAATGATAAATTATAAATTATTAAATATTTATTACTCAATGTTAATTTTAACCATTCCAAATCTACAACTATTTTCAAATAAAAAAATATATATATACCAAAAGTAGATAATTACAAAAATATAAATTTAGATATTCTGAATTTCTGAATATTTTAATAAAATAATAGTACTTTATTCAACTGAAGGATATAAGTATTTTTTAATAGATTGCTCTTTTCATACATTCCAATATCACTAGATAAGACTATAATAACGTTTAAATAAAAGAAAAAAAAGAATAAAATATTACAAATTATAAAGCGCGGAGACCAAAACAAGACCTTAAGGGTAGCTAGGTCTAGAATAAGAAGGTCTGGGGATCTGGGACATATTTCCTTAATGTTATAAGTACTAGAAAATATAATTACTTTCCAGATACAAATATTAGATTTACGTTATTACCTTACCTTCCTTCTGATCTTCAGAGGGCTCTCAAGGTCATATAGTTAAAAATTTAATCAAGTATATCGTAATATAAATTTAATATTTTAACTATAATAAGTAATAATAAAGAATATATTATTATGATCATGCACCTTGCCTGATACGCAGCAATGTGTATGTTATGCTTGTCAGAAAAATTAAGGCGGTACAAATGAAATCTCTGAAGACGTGAATCTAAATAAAAAACATTGGTTTAGAATGTTTAGATCGTTGAAAAGTGAAGTCTAGTTGTCGCCTTCGGTGCACATGTACATGTTAGAAACGACATGATCAAACCGGCAGCTTTATTAGACCTCTGCGTTCTCGCGGAACTAACCTTTTCCTTGGCGAAGAAGAGATATTTATTCGGCTTTCCCCAGTTTAATGGCACAAGAAAGTTACACGTCACATTTTTTTTTTTTTTGAAATATTACAAAATATTTAAAAATTAAGAATAAATAATTATTTCATGGATAAATACCCAATGTTTTTAAAATTCACATAAAAAATGCATTTAATTAGTAGACATTTTTTTTACATAGTTTGAAAAACTAATAAAGAACATTTAAGTTTCATATCTTCAGTATAAACAAATTTTTATTAACTTAAAATTCTTAACTACAAAATAATATATAAATTTTGTCGAAATTTTGACTTTAAACATTATTATGACAATAGATTTTCGATATTTTTTAATTAAGAAATCGATGACTTAGAAGAGCTTTGTACTACATTTTCAAGCATTTCTACCAAAAGAATAATTTTTAATTGACATTTATTAGTAAAAAAATTAGCCTAGAAACTTAACCTAATCTAGAAAATGATAATTTTAAATACTTAGTGAATATTTTAAGTATCTACGGTTATTAGTTTCGAATTACACTAAAGAAAACAAAAACAATTTTGTCAAATCAAATAAAATTTTTCGTTTTTTTTTTTAAATAATTTTTTTGTTTTGGTTTTTCCCGGTTAAAAAAATCTTAGAAATCTTTTACTTTTGCCTCCCTTAAAATATTAACTTATTCCAATAGTTATAATGATTAATGATTCACCTCCAAAATTACGAAAATAAAAAATCAAACACAAAATATTGAATACAAAACAGCGAAAATCATTTAATTGAAAGAATAAATAGGAAATAAAAAATAATGGAAAATTAAAAAAACAAATTGAAATTATGACAATTATTATTTTTGTCGTATCTATATTCTATACATTGCTTATTTTTATTAATATTTTATAGATAACTAAAAAAATAATAATAAAATATTAATAAACTAATGTGTCAAATTATAGACAATTCCTTTAAAAAAATTTAAATTATCATTTTCGTCGTACATAGTTCAGCCGAATCTTTGTACTTCTTTTTTTCCTTATATTATTCATTCGATTACTACTAATACTACTACACTACAATTAAAGAATAAAGATAATATCTTTAATTGTGCTTCTAAACTGTCAAACTAATAATTTACTTGCGTCTGAAGAAATCACTATCGAATATCGATATTATTGTCATTCGCTTTTATTTAGGTTCGTCCAAACAGTTTTCGCTATTTTGACGGGATACCAGTTATAATAGACACTTGGAAAAATGCACATCATTGTATAATCATTATAACTTGTAATTTATAAAGTTATAATCAATTAATTCATCGCTCCGATGAAAATCTAAAAAAAAATAAAATATAAATCTTTTATATTTAAGTGCATCGTACAATCGTACACAATACACATTAATATAATATCATTATACATAACTAGTTAATTAGTAATTTGCTAATTTAGAAAGAACTTCCGAGTACTATGATCTATGATTAGTATTTAGTGGCTTAGACGCTTAGTGCAATACTGCAATATGCCATATGCCGTATGGTACTATGGTATAACCACAGCTGTCATTTATCGATATTATCAGTGTTGGACGTCGGTCGATTCCACAGTTAATATATGTATATATATATATTAACCGTAGCCCGTGGGTCGATTCAATCACAACAGCTGATCGATGTTTTCTTTTACTCTGCTTCGAATCGCATAGCCATTGCCCATTGCCCACATTGAACACTGCACAGTGCACGATCAGCCGTCAGGTACTCAGGTGTCGATAGTCGATAGAGTGATGACTTTCTAGTGCTTTAGTGTGACACTGTGTATTTCGAATGACTAAGTTATTAGTTTATTACGGCTTAGAACGCGGCGTTACTGGTGGTAGTAAACATTTAAGTATCTCAAATAATTAGATGCATAACTTTAGGTTAGTACACAAGTTCTTTTCCATGTTTTTTGGAAGTTCATATTCAGTTGACAGGCAAACAAGAACCCAATCAGCTGTTCGAGTGTCATTTCAATATTCTGTGTTTCTGTGGTACCACTTATTTTTATTTTTATATGATGTTACAATGTTACATACATACGTCTTGACAGTTACATACATATTATATTGAATAAATATAAGATTTAAGTAAAAAAAAACCCTAGTTCTTAGACTACTTGGCACCCACCACAGTCGCTACTCTGTACTTACTACTCACTAGTCACTACTCGTCTAGTCGTCTGATCGTCTCGTCGGCTTATCGGTCGGGTACTCTAATATTTCAAATCGTGGCTCATATCGGTTTTCGTATCACTCCGCACTAGTATCGCAGAGGAGCGACACTGGTCTGTGGCAGTATATTATATTTTCATTGTTATGTTATGAATTAATAGTTGGTTGTTGGTAATTACTATTATCACTTCAATCTATTCATGGAATGGTATCAACGATAAAAATGCCTTTAATAATGTATACTACTACATTATAATTTACGAATTAATATTATTATCATTATTAATATTATAGTATTGTAACCGTGTGTTAATTAGTACTTAGTATATGATTGTTATTATTTTTAATGTTATAATGTTATATTATACGCGTAGGTATTTAAAGTTTAAATTATAATTTCGTCGTTCTTTATTTGGTGCGTATCGGGTTTTATAATAGTCTAACACATATCTATATTTTTTATATGCACACGAATATAATATTATAATAATAAAATAGCTATAGTTACGTAATGAATTATAATACGGTTTGTATCATGTGCACGTCTATACGTGTAAACATTTTGGAATGACCTGTTTGGTAGCAGAAAACAATCATCGAAGACGGTGGGAAAGTCTACGACTACGACGGCGGTAAAGGAGGCGGTACGACGCGAATACGCGATAGCTTGTCGACGGCGATTGTGGCGGAACAACGACAACGGTCCGACGACCTAGACAATGGTTTTTACTTTTTGTCGTGTTCCACCACCGCGTGGGAGAATATGTAAAAACTAAGGAGGATATCGATAGTGGCGACGGCTGTGCAACAAATTTTTAACGACCATTGTTTTGATGTTACATACGATAGGGTGAATGTCAAATCAAGTAAATGAGACCGGTAATTAATAATCAACATAATATTTTAATTAATAACTGTGTTAATATCATAATTTATATTAATAATATAAATATACTATAAGTGTTGGTTAGATGAAAGAAATGGGATTTATAAAAATCAAGTCCAGTCAATTATAGAAATAGAAAGAAATTGGGATAGAGGTGGTCCTAATCATGTCCCAAATTAAAAGTGATCAGAGATGGTGTTAAAAAAGGCGTCGAGTACAGGCGAGACTAGATGATGTATGTGAGAAAAAAACTTAATACATTTCAATGTGGCTATGTAGTATTTATAAGCTTTGTTAAATGTCTATAATCAGCTGCTCATGTACCTAGAAGCATGGCTAAATACTCAGGTATGTTAGCAATAATACTAAAATCCGCTCTAAAAAACTAAAAAACGCATTCATGGAATAATAAACAAATCTTAATTTATTATATGGTAATTGACGTCAGCCGGCAAGGATTTTTATCGGCCAAATCTTGAAACTAGTTACAACTATGATAAAAAGTTCCTTTCGGCTGACGTCATGACATGCATATCACAGAGTTGCTGACATACCTAAGTATTTAGCTATGCCTAGAAGTATGTGTGTGTCATGTGTCTGGTCTCATCAATATTATCCAAAGGTTAAAGGCTATTCATGTTTGTATAATTTAATAAGGCAAAAACTACTCTAGTTTTTTAGTATTCAGAATCTTTTGATGTATTTTTAAAGTTTACTTTCTTCAATTCCTGTATAGTATTATGATTTACTCAATTCATAGATTAACTAATTGTATGTTGTTATTTTTTCATTCAATATTTCTTAATTTTTTCGATCTAGTTAGATATACACATGCAATTATTTTTTGACAAAATTTATACTAATGTACTTACTATTTAATATAGATTTTTATAATATAAATACATATTTTGTTTAATTAAAAAACACTGCTAGTTATCAGATAATCTGTAAGAAAAAAAAATTTCCTTACCTTCTCAAAGAACATGTTCAATGAATGAAAAATTTTTATCTAGTTAAAAATACTTAATAAAACATGAAGTGTTACTTATACATTGATATTACTTCATGCTTTATCAAATTTAATTTTTGTCACTAACTTTTAAAAATTAATTATATTAATAAAAGAGAAATATAAAAAAACGATTAGCTTATTAAATATTTCCTTTAATTTGTTTTTAAGTTATACTAAATATTGTTACAAGTTAAGTTAAAATCATAACAGTTATTTAATACTTTTTATTGATTGATTTCTCAGAACAACTTTAACTGGTAAACTTAGACTTATAGTATGAAAATAACACAATGTATAATTAAATATAATTATTTAATGTAATGTTCACTAAGTATTAAAATATTATTAATTATAATAGAGCGAAATATAGAGATTATAATATGAGTACTAATGCACTCTAATAAAATTATACCATAGTGGTGTTGATATTTTGTGATAATTTATTTTTGCAGTTTGTTGTCTTTTGATAATATTTATTAAAAAAAAAAAAAAAAACTATTGGAATTACATAAAATCATAGTTATAAACAGTTAATTGTTGTTTCAATTGTTATCACTTATCAATAATTTTAGTTTGTCAATAATCTGATAGATATTTTAGTGTTATAGCAGTTAAAGTATACTGTAGAAAAGTATTATTAGTGCATACCTATGCAATATAGATAATGTTTGTATCACTATTTCATTGTTTTAAACAATCATTTGTTATCTAATTTTCAGTATTTAATATTTACCTTATAACATAATATCAATAGTTCTATATAAGGTATTAAGGTCAGTTAGTAATCAGTATTCTATTCAATAGCAATATACAGTTTATAATACAACTGTATAATAATATTTTCATTATTATTTTATTTGTGTAAGTACTTAAAATAATACATAAGTAATATCTAGCATTGTTCATATTTCTAATCTGTTTAATTATTATTGTTATATCTTAATAGTGTCTGTAAGTTTATGAATAGTTAAGGTCAATTTATCAAATTATTTTATTATATGATAGCATTTATTTTTAAATATTTTATTACGATTTATTCTTTTATGTTAATTGAATGCTTAATTTTTGATAATACATTGAGTGCATTAGATAAGTACTTATATTATTATTGATTTAATATTATTATTATCCTACCTAGGTACCAAATATAAATTTAATTTTAAAGTTATAAGGTCAAATGTTTTTATTTTTGAAGTTCATGTGGATTAATTTATTCCTTTCTATATGTATATTGTCAGCAGATTAATTCTTAAAAATATATGACCATGGAAACACTTACAAGAGATGTGCCATCAAGTTTGCAACATCATAATAATTCATCTATTTCAAATATGAAACATAATTATGTTCAGGTATATATTACAATTTTGTTCTCAAATACATTTTTAATATTATTTATTATATTAATTTCATGTATATATTATCATGTTAAAAATATACTTTTTCAGTTATCCAAAACATGTTTAGACGAAGACGCTCAAATAAATAAAAAATTACCGAAAGAGCTTTTATTACGGTATAATTTAACTTTATTATTTGTTAGGTATACAAAATATAATAAAATATTAATTTTATAAATGTATATTTTAGAATATTTTCATACCTAGACGTCGTGTCATTATGCCGATGTGCTCAAGTATCTCGTGCTTGGAATATATTAGCATTAGATGGAAGCAATTGGCAAAAAATTGACTTATTTGAATTTCAAACTGATGTTGAAGTAAATATAATTTTTTAGTTGTATAACATATTTTTTATAAAAATATAATTGTTTAGGGTCCTGTAATAGAAAATATATCACGACGTTGTGGTGGTTTCTTGCGACAAATTAGTTTGCGTGGATGTCAATCTGTAGGAGATGGCTCTCTAAAAACTCTTGCTCAGTGTTGTAATTATATTGAATATATAAATCTGAATGGATGTAAGAGAATTACAGATAGGTAAATTAAATTAACTAAGATAGTTGTATGAATAAGGAGATGTCTTTCAATGTTTGTTTTTACAGCACTAGTCAATCTTTAAGTCAATATTGTAAGAAACTATTATCATTGGACATTGGTTCATGCTCTATGGTGACTGATTTATCTTTAAAAGCAATTTCTGATGGTTGCCCAAATTTGACCAGTGTTAATATATCTTGGTGTGATGGTATTACAGAAAATGGTAAGTATTTTTCCTTTTGTTTTCTTCATATTTCATTTATTTCTTGATTATAAAGGTGTCGAAGCTTTAGCACATGGTTGTCCAAAATTGAAATCATTTATATCCAAAGGCTGTACAAGAATGACAACCAGGGCAATCAGTTGTTTAGCACAACATTGTACACAATTAGAAGTAATAAATTTGCATGGCTGCAATGTAAGTATAATGAATTGTTCATTTTACTCAACTATCATTCAATTCAATTTTCTTTAGAACATTGAAGATGAAGCTGTGATAAATTTAGCCAACAACTGTAATTCTTTAAAATACTTATGTCTTGCAAATTGTTCTTTATTAACTGATAGCTGTCTTGTTTCCCTGGCTGAACAATGTTATCAGTTAAATACCTTAGAAGTAGCTGGTTGTTCGCAGTTTACCGATATAGGATTTTTAGCATTATCAAAAGTAATAATAAATACCAAATATAGTTTGTAAATATTTTATACTATCAATAATTTTTAATAGACGTGTCATCTTATGGAAAAAATGGATTTAGAAGAATGTGTATTTATTACAGACTCAACTCTATTTCATTTAGCAATGGGATGCCCTCGGCTTGAAAATTTGGTAAATATTTTTGATGATTTATTTGCTTTTAATTAAATTAAATTTAAAATCATATTTTAAATAACAGAGTTTATCACATTGTGAATTAATCACTGATGAAGGCATCAGACATCTAAGTACTTCAACATGTGCATCTGAACATTTGGCTGTGCTTGAATTGGACAACTGTCCTCTTATTACTGATGCATCTCTAGAACACCTTATTAATTGTCATAACTTGCAAAGAATAATGTTGTATGACTGTCAACTCATTACTAGAAATGGAATAAAACGACTTCGAGTTAGTGAATATTTTCTTAACTTATATTTTATGTATAAGCTAATTTATTATCATTTTAATGTGAAAATATCAAGTAATGGAACTTAAATATAAATATAGCTTTTAATTTATCATAATACCATTAATGCATAATTTGTTAATTTAACTTATTTTTTTTTTTTAATCTATAAATATTTCTTGTGTTATTCTATTTAGACACACTCGCCTAACATAAACGTGCACGCCTATTTTGCACCTGTGACGCCGCCGCCGTCTACTGGCAATAGTCGACAACGTTATTGTCGTTGCTGTGCCATATTGTGAGCCTGGCTTGAAGGCCGGTCATGCATACGCTTGTGTGCTACTTGCCTGAAATATTTGGCAAACATTTTGCAATCATTTGCCTGCTGTGTATTAAAATATAATATTTATTTTCTACCATTCTTTTTTATAATCATGATATTGTATTGTTTATTATTATATTTAGTATACGTACATAGATAGTGATTATGTGTTAAGCTCTATAAAGAAAATCTGTCCATTTGGACTAACATATTATACAGGTTTATGTATTATCCTTGTGTTTGTATATGTGTGTATATTGACACATGAATATGGTTCGCTAAATTATATGTGCCTGTATTTTCCTTTTAATATTTTTAGTCAAATGAAACTTGTAGTATATTTATATACATTATATACCGTGTGTCCATTAACAGGAAACACTGGAATGATCCCTTCTTTAATGTAGGACACTTTATTTCAGAAAATAATTTTTTAACACAACTTTAAGTTGTTACTAAATAACAATTTTGGAAAATCATAATTTTACTACTTTTAATTATTATCATTTTAAAGTTTTTTATTCTTTTGAATGTTAATATATATTTTTTTAAATTCATATTTTGAAGTGAAATACTCTGAATATTTTGATCTATGAAAATTATTATATAGTAGTTTATTAGCTATAACTTATAACTTATAGATATTTAAAGTTAAAATGAACAGATTAGTGGACCAACATTTTCTGGAATACACTTGTATCACTACTTGTTTGAGATTTAATTTTTATATGTTTAAGTACTCCAAAAATATTCTGCTTTAAAATAGGGAATTTAAAATGAAAAATGGTAAAAAAAAAATGTTTTTAAAAATAATAATTTTTGAAATAAGAAGTGTCTTGCGTTAATTAAGTCACTCCATTTAACAGTATCCCTTATGCATATTTTTAAACTTGATTTGTGAAACATGAAGCTAAAGAAATTACTATGTTATCAATTTTTCTTAGTTACAATAGCTTAACTCATACTTTCTGTGCATTTGTAACAACTTTATATATTTTTTTAAATGAATATATTTTTAAATATAATTTTACTCGCTAAATATTTTAAGTAATTTTATTGGTCAACCTGTATCTAAATTAAAAATTTAAGTTTTTATTAAAAAAATTGTGTTTTACTTACACATAATATATAAGTTATAAAAATTATAAATCATAAATTTATTTTTAAGCAGTCTAGTTTCATTTTTAACAAACCAAATTTTTAAATATGTTTCACACAGTTACTGAGTAGGTAACAGTTAATCTTTGTTAATGTAATATGTGTGAAGTAAATACCTATTTATTAAATATTAGCCATTAAATTCGATACATTTTCTCTACAGCTTTTTTTTTTTTTGTAGAAAAGTACATTTTTCATATATCCAAAGTTTAAGAAATTAATTATAATAAAAAACATTGTTTATATTAAAAGTGTAACAGCAAATTGATCGAAAGATAAAATATTCTCTTTTACCTTATTATTTTAATTTTTAGTTCAATATAATTTGTTTAATGCTTTATTGTTTATACAAAATTATTTTTCAAAACTGCACTAAAAATATTACAGAAAAAACTGGGCACTTTTAGTGAACCACTGTATATTATATAGATTCATTATTAACTGTAATTTTTTTATAATATATTATAAATCATGTTCCTTTATGACAATACAATATATAGAAAAAATAAAATGTTTATAGATACTATTTAGTATTATGCTTCTAATTTTATCATAAACATAATAACTTTATTCTGGATAGTTCAAAAATTATCTCCATTAAACATATTATAGTTCTTAAGTTTTTTCCTATTCAATGAACAAAATTAGTTATTATTGTGTTTTAGATAGTTATTTTATATTTTTTACCTATTTTCCAATGTTAGTTCAAACAATTTTTTTTTTTAAGACATATTTCATATTTAACTATTATATTTATACTAGATTTCCATATTTTATAAACACATAACATATTTTTTTTGGTGCTTGATATTAAGACTTGTTGAATAAATATTAATATTTGAAGTTTTCAGAAGTTTTTTAATATGACGTAATTGTTACAATTATTATTATTCCAATTCCATAAATTTACTTAATATTCCTATTGAAATAAAAATACCTCAGTTACAAATTAAAACTTTTTTTAATAAATTCTATCTTTTTATATTTTCAATCTAAAGTACTTGTTGAAAAGCTTAGAAATGTGAAACTTACGCTTAATTTAAGTTTGATAAAAATAGCATTTGAAGATTATAGATATTTTAAGTAAAGAGACTTGGAGAGACTATCATAATATGTATACCTAATTAGTTATTACTCCATTTGACATTTTGCTTATATTAATAAGTTAAAACTAAATGTTTATTAAGACATTTTTAATTTTAATAAATCTTACTAATGTGATATATTTTTATTGAAACAACATTATATGAAAATTTAAATTTGAAAACACATGAATCAATTTTTACTTGTTTGATTTCTTATTTTTATTTCCTCATTCCAATAGAACACGAATAATAGGTATAACTTATAAGTTATAATGATTGCATAATGTAATTTTAGTTGAACAATAAATTAATAAAATTAATCTTATATTAAAAATATATATACCTATTATAAATTGTAACTTATTAATATGTATGTTACAATTGATGCGACTGTACAACTTTTTTAATTTACTACATTTTTGTAAACTTTATTTTTAGTTTTGTAACTAAAGAAAACAAATAGAAAATCAAAATAACATATTCCTAAGAATCGATAAGTGAGTATTTCAATCTTGGAACAAAATATTGTATAAATATGTGATATAACTTTTGTGCGTTTGGTCCTTTGAATAAAGTTTTGTAGAATTCAACTAAATATTTTACCCAAATTTTAATTTTTATGTCATTTCTGAAAATCAAAGCAGGTGTTTCACAAGGAAGTATTCTATCTCTAATATTGTTCTTTATTGCCGATCAGCCCACTACGCATCTAACCACAGCGCCACGGCATCCAACTATTTAGACGATAAAGCGACAAATTCGTGTTAATTAGTAAAAATCCATTATCTACTTCATCAAACCTTTAGCTACACCTTAACCTAATTTCCGAACGGTAAACAAATAACGTATAAAAATAAATCAAAGTAAATTAATTCCCACGTCTGTACATACGTCTGTTATTTTTTATAAAATGTAAAACGACTTTCAAATATAAATTAGATTTATTTAAAACGCGATTACAAAATGAAGACTAGTCGCATTTTCCAGCTTGCATGACGTAAATAAAAATTAATAATGAATCAATTTCCTACAAAAAATATGCAGAAAAAATTTTGTTTGACGACTGAATTCGAAAATAGGTTTCAAAATTTCGAATATTTAGAAAACGATTTTGCCTTGTTTACGTCTCCTTTTTTAGTAGATGCAGTAAATGTTCCAACCCATACAAATTGAGCTAATCAAGATTCAAAATGATTCAAATTTAAAAAATAAATTCAATGAAGCTGGTGTTCCTGATTTTTACAATTTTCTGCCAATACGATATGTAGAAACTTGTAGATTTGCTTGTAAAATTATTTCTATGTTTAGTAATACCTACTTATCGATGCGAGGTGCAACTTTTATCATTAATGATCAGAACAGTAATAAATCAGCCGTTAGATCCAGATTAACCGATACACATCTAAATGCCCTATTAAAAGTGGTTTCGTCAAATAATATTTCTCTCAAAATTGAAAAGTTGGTGGGAGAAAAGACATGTCAAATATTGTCTAAAACAAAATTATTAATATAATTTTTTTTTGTAATTTATATAACACTTATTTTCATAAATAATTAGTATGATTTATATTTTATTTAAATGTTAATGATAATTTTTTAATCTTTTTTTAATTTAGTTGTAATTGTAATTTGTAGTATTCGTAAACATAAAGAATAAAATTGAAAATTTTTTACAAAATGTTTATTTTTTTGCTAAATTTTTATGTGCGACTCAAATAGTAAACTATTCAATATATTTGGCCCACTTGATTGAGTTTGACATGCCTGGTATACAGGTTCAAACAATATGCGTCGCTACGTAAATACACGGAAAACTTATCTCCAAAAACAATTTAATTGATAAATTTCGGAATTTTTTCATAAGATGGCTAACCTGCTTACTTGCATACTAAGCACTTTCATTAAAAAAAAAAAAACATAAAAATCGGTCCAGTAGAAGTTCAGGGATGACTTGACAAAAAAAGTCTTACGTTTTAATAATGTGTATATAGTTTAAAAACATTAGTACAATTTATTTTTATAAGCATTTAAGATTCAAATGTTGCCAAAATCGTAAAAATTTACAAATTATTTCGCAGTTTAAAATTAATAAAACATAATATTTATATAGTAAAAGTTTGAAAATTTAAAACGTTAGTCATAGACACTAAAACCAAAGAAATTTATTATTTTGTTGTAATTCATAAACATTATTCACTGAGACGTTCAATAGGGTCTCGTTAACACGAACACTGGCTAATCCGAAATACGCGGTAATTCAAACGGGCTTGGAAATTGCTGCATCGCTATACTAATACCATTGATTATAAATACTAGTCTTTATAATCAATGCTAATACATAGGTACGTTATCATAATTCATAATAATATGCAATATTATTATGTACCTACATATTAACTGGCTGAATAAATATTATTATGATTTTGATTGTATTCATTGTATATTTCAACAACGAATTTTATGAATTAATACTGGCAGTATTTAATTTATTTTAATTTAAAGTAAATTTCAAAATTTAAATTACAAGAAAATTGATGTCTTTTTTTAATTCATATTTAATCTGAACAAATCGTTAATCCGAATGATCTCTCTCTTTCTCCAATTTCGTTCGGATTAACGAGACTACTGTATAACTATATATGTAAGTATGCAACTTAATTTACGTTTATTGTTATACAGTGTGTTTCTAAAATGAATGAAATCAATGAGGTCAATAGTAACGCGTGCGTACTCATTGTGATGACCCAATGAAGATTTTTTTTAAAAATTTTTTTCTATCTTAAAAATCTGGGTTTTTCATATTATTCTTAGAATATTGTCTGAAATGTAAAAATAAACACTCAAGTTGCATTTTCTTGCAAAATTCTCATACGAATCGAGATGTCATATCGTTTTTGAGCTTGTCACGCGTTTTCACGCTCGAATCGTCGACTAAAAAAATAGTCGTGTGGCACATCGATTTGTATGAGAACACTGCAAGATTAACAGTGGTGATAGTTATATCATCATTTTACATACATGATTAATTAACATATTATTTATTAACATATTTATTGTTTTATATTGTAAACTAATTAAAAATTTATGTTATCATTCAAAAAAAGTAAAAATTATAAAAAACGTATTCAAATATCAAATATGTATGAAATGTAAATTTTGAATAACATTTTTACTTATTAGCTTTTAAAATAATAAGTACCTACCTATTAGGAATCATTTTACCTATGTCCTATATGTAATATATGTA